TGAAAGGTTTCCAGATGGATATGCGGAGCAAATCCATCTGGCGGAGTCAGGTTAGGGAGCCACTGGTTTGACCAAATACCTGAAAAAATACGAGCATCCTCGGACAGAGTTGTGGTTGAAGTGCTCAGACGTCTTTTCGCTGCCGTAGTCCTCGCCAGGGTCGGCCCAGATCAGGTCACACATTGGCCCAAATGCAGGCGGCTCTTTAAACCTGTCTAACTGTTGAGCACAGCACACAGTCAGATAAATGGCTGTGATTTCTGCTACGGGCGTACAAAAAGGCGCCGGACGACCGACCTTTCTTATGTCGTCTAAGCAGTTGATTTCTGGGGAGAGCCCCCCATGAACGCACAGGAACTGTTGGTTTAGCAGGGCAGCGAGCGGCAGGCAGTCAAAGGCTTCCATACAGGCGTCGTAAACCCGCTCAGAGTATTTGATTTTACCTGCATTGAAAACACAGAAACAGACTGGTTGAAGACCTGACCGGGTACGCAGCAATACCACAGGCCCAGTTAGACCAGGGCGAAGGTCACTGTTCATAAAGCAGGAGGCGACGCATCCGTACACTGTTCATCATCAATACTACAGGATATACACACACATACACATATATACATATATACACACATATACATACATATATGTATATATATATATATATATACACACAAAGAAACATACACATAAACGTACATAAAAACATATATACCTACAAACATATACACACATATATACATATCCATATATACGCACATACTCATATTAGGGGTGTGCAAAATAATCGTCATGACGATGCATCACGATTCAAATTTTTGTGATCTACTGCATCGATTCTTGACGCCAAGTATCGATTCTTAATTTAAAAAAATGAACAAATAAAACACATGAATGGTTGGCGAACATCAGCCAAATCAAGTGGAATACAACTACCAGTCCAGTAGATGTCGCTGCAGATGTGTTGATGCCCGCTGCTTTGTGTCACAAGCATTTCCGGCCGTGGGATACTATGACGAGTCATTCGTAAACAAAACATGGAGGACACTGAGAAAATTCGCCCCGGCTCCATCACATTTCAAGTCAGATGCTTGGATGCATTTTGGCTTTAAAAACAAAGAAGGTAAAAATTAAATTGATATGACGCACGTAATTTACAAAAGGACCACTGAGGCCATGTAAACGGCTCTGATTATCCTTATTTTGTTATTTTAAGTTTGATGAATCCTAAGATCTTTTTGTCAGTGTGTCCACGCCAGTAATAGTAATATTTCTGTCCAGTATTTGTTT